TCACCCCATCCCATCCCCATCCCATCCCCATCCCATCCCCATCCCATCCCCATCCCACCCTCCCCATCCCCATCCCATCCCATCCCATCCCCACCCCATCCCCATCCCCATCCCCCATCCCATCCCCATCCCATCCCATCCCATCCCCACCCCATCCCATCCCCATCCCCACCCCATCCCATCCCCATCCCATCCCCATCCCATCCCCATCCCATCCCCATCCCACCCCATCCCATCCCCACCCCATCCCCATCCCCATCCCCATCCCACCCCATCCCATCCCCACCCCATCCCCATCCCCATCCCATCCCATCCCCATCCCCATCCCATCCCATCCCATCCCCACCCCATCCCATCCCCATCCCCATCCCACCCCACCCCACCCCGAGCCCCGGGGCTGCAGGATGCCTGCGCTGCGCCTGCCTGACCTCGGTGTAGATGGAGGGGGTGAGGTAGCAGAGCAGGCGCACGTCGTCCTCCTGGCAGGCCTTCATGTCCATCATGAGGCAGGTGTGCAGGTCCCCCAGCTGCGTGGCCTGGGCAAAGCACTCGTAGAGACTCATCTTGCCCGCGGCTGCTTTGCTGCATGGGGGGGGTGGTGGGGAGGAAGGGGAGGAGGAGGAGGGAGAAGGGGGAAGAGGAGGGAGAGGGAAGAGGGGGAAGGAGGAAGAGGAGGAGAAGGAGGAAGGGGAGGAGGAGGAGGAGGGGGGAGAGGGGGAAGAAGGGGGAAGAGGAAGGGGGAAGAAAGGGAAGGAGGAAGAGGAGGAGGAGGAGGGAAAGGAGGAAGAGGAGGAAGGGGGAAGAGGGGGAAGGGGGAAGAGGAAGGGGGAAGAGGAAGGGGGAAGAGGGGAAGGAGGAAGGGGAGGATGAGGAAGAGGATGGAGAGGAGGAAGAAGGGGGAAGAGGAGGAAGAGGAGGAAAGGGGAAGAGGAGGAGGGAGCAAGAGGAAGGGGGAAGAGGAGTAGGGAGAAGAAGGATGAAGGGGGAAGAGGAAGGGGGAAGAGGGGGAAGGAGGAAGAGGAGGAGGAGGGAGAGGAGGGAGAGGAAGGAGGAAGAAGGGGGAAGAGGAGCAAGAGAAGGAAAGGGGAAGAGGAGGAAGGAGAAAGAGGGGAAGGAGGAAGAGGAGGAAGAGGAAGAAGAGGAGGAAGAGGGAAGAGGGGGGAGGAGGAAGGGGAGGAGGAGGAAGAGGAGGGAGAGGAGGAAGAAGGGGGAAGAGGAGGAAGAGGAGGAAAAGAGGAAGAGGAGGAAGGAGGAAGAGGAAGGGGGAAGAGGAGTAGGGAGGCGGAAGAAGGGGGAAGAGGAAGGGGGAAGAGGGGAAGGAGGAAGAGGAGGAGAAGGAGGAGGGAGGGGAAGGAGAGGAGGAAGAAGGAAGAAGGGGGAAGAGGAGCAAGAGGAGGAAAGGGGAAGAGGAGGAAGGAGAAGAGGAAGGGGGAAGAGGAGGAGGGAGAAGGAGGAAGGGGGAAGAGGAAGGGGGAAGAGGGGGAAGAGGAGGAGAAGGAGGAGGAAGGAGAGGAGGGAGAGGAGGAAGGAGGAAGAACGGGAAGAGGTGGAAGAGGAGGGAGAGGAGGAAGGAGAAAGAGGGGAAGGAGGAAGAGGAGGGAGAGGAGGAAGGAGAAAGAGGGGAAGGAGGAAGAGGAGGAAGAGGAAGTGAAGAGGAGGAAGGGGAGGAGGAGGAAGAGGAGGAAGAGGAGGAAGAAGGGGGAAGAGGAGGAAAAGGAGGAAAAGAGGAAGAGGAGGAAGGAGGAAGAGGAAGGGGGAAGAGGAGTAGGGAGAAGGAAGAGGAAGGGGGAAGAGGGGGAAGGAGGAAGAGGAGGAGAAGGAGGAGGGAGGGGAAGGAGAGGAGGAAGGAGGAAGAGGAAGGGGGAAGAGGAGGAGGGAGAAGGAGGAGGAAGGGGGAAGAGGAAGGGGGAAGAGGGGGAAGGAGGAAGAGGAGGAGGAGGGAGAGGAGGAGAGGAGGAAGGGGGAGGAAGAAGGGGGAAGAGGAGGAAGAGAAGGGAGAGGAGGGAGAGGAGGGAGAGGAGGAAGGAGAAAGAGGGGAAGAGGAAGAGGAAGAAGAGGAGGAAGAGGGAAGAGTGGGAAGGAGAAGGAGGAGGAAGAGGGGAGAGAGGGAAGAGGGGGAAGGGGAGGAAGGAGGAGCAAGGGGAGGAAGGGGGAAGAGGAGGAAGGAGGAGGAAGAGGAAGAGGGGGAAGGAGAAGGAGGAAGAAGAAGGGGGAAGAGGAAGAAGAGGAGGAAGGAGAAAGAAGAGGAAGGGGGATGAGGAGGAGGAGGAGGAAGAAGGAGGAGGAGGAGGAGGAAGGGGGAAGAGGGAGAGGAGGAAGAGGAGGAGGGAGAAGAAGCAGCGCGTGGGCGAGCGGCACCGGCAGCCCCGGCTGCATCCCTGCGCCGTGCCCTGGGCGCAGCTCGATCCCAATGGAATCCCGGCGGCTCCCGGCGCTCCCCGCCCCGGGCCCTACCTGGCCTTCAGGTAGTAGAGGAGGTGGTACCCGATCTTGGGCTGCTTCTGGTAGAGCTCCGAGAGGAGGTCCAGCAGCAGGGAGAAGCCGCTGTTGTCCTCCTGCATCTGGCAGAGATTCCTTCGGGATACAGGGGAGAGCCGCGTGACTCCGGGGAGCCCGGCGGGAGCATCCCTGGGACAGGGAGGAGAGGAGGCACCCACGGCCCTGGGGTGGGTGGGGATGGGGATGGGGAAGGGGCTTGGAGCAGCCTGGGCCAGTGGGAGCTGCCCCCGTCCATGAGCTTTCAGCTCCCTTCATCCCAACCCATTCCATGGTTCCCAGATGCTTCCAGGCTCATCTCCCTCATCCCTGCTCAGGAGCTGGATGAGCTTTCAGCTCCCTTCATCCCAACCCATCCCATGATTCCATGATGCTTCCAGGCCCATCTCCCCCACCAGCTCCCTTCATCCCAACCCATTCCATGGTGCTGGGATGCTTCCATGCTCATCTCCCCCATCAGCTCCCTTCATCCCAACCCATCCCATGATTCCATGATGCTTCCATGCCCATCTCTGGCTTGGAGCTGGATGAGTTTTCAGCTCCCTTCATCCCAACCCATCCCATGATTCCATGATGCTTCCATGCCCATCTCCCCCATCAGCTCCCTTCATCCCAACCCATCCCATGATTCCAGGATGCTTCCATGCCCATCTCCCCCATCTCTGGCTTGGAGCTGGATGAGCTTTCAGCTCCCTTCATCCCAACCCATCCCATGGTTCTGGGATGCTTCCATGCCCATCTCCCTCATCCCTGCTCAGGAGCTGGATGAGCTTTCAGCTCCCTTCATCCCAACCCATCCCATGATTCCATGATGCTTCCATGCCCATCTCCCCCATCTCTGGCTTGGAGCTGGATGAGCTTTCAGCTCCCTTCATCCCAACCCATCCCATGATGCTTCCATGCCCATCTCCCCCATCCCTGGCTTGGAGCCCACAAACTCCCCCTCTCCGGAGCCCCCCCCCCAGACGAGCTGGACCCACGCTGGCACCAAGGCCTCCCTTCCCAGAGCAATGCCAGCATTCTGGAATAGCCCTACCTGAATATTAGGTAGAGCGGCTTCCCCACGGACTCCTCCAGGGACCTGCAGGATGAGGCCGGGACTCAGAGCTCCGGGTGCTCCACTGGTGGGTACCAGGCTGGGAGCCCCCCGCGTTGGCGGGATGCTCCTGCCAACGGGCCCCAATCCCAAGGGAATCCCGGGGGAATTGCTCCTTACTCCTCCGTGATTTCCTCCGGCAAAACCTCCCCTCGGAAGTGAGCCTTGAAGAGCTCCTGCAGGCAGGAGGCCAGCCCCGACAGCTGCTCCGAGTCAAAGTCCTCCTGGCAAGGGGGAAAGGGAGGGATGAGGGCAGGAAGCACGAGGATGCTCGCAGTCATCTTCCTGCCCCATTTGGCAGGGAGGACTTCCCCTTGGCAAAGCCTTTCCCAGTGTTCCCAGTGGGAAGAAGCACCTTGAGTCTAAAGGGAGCAAGGGATGGAGCCCTCCACCACCCAACTGCAGTATTCCCACCGCAGGGCACACGGAGGAGGCTCCCAAAGGGGCGCTGGGATGAAGGGAGAAGCCGCATCCCGGAGGGATGCTCCGGTGGAAGGCTGAGCTTTAGGGTCCCTTCACCCCAAAGCCCCCGTCCCTGCTGCTGCTTTCCCAGAGTGAAATCCCAGGGATTGGGCCGTTACCTCCAGGACTTGATCCACGATTTCCTGCATGACCTCACACTGGGCTTCCGTGTCGCTGGAGCACAAATCCAAGAGGAAATCCAAGTGAACGGAGGAAGGTGCCGGGAGCAGGGACAAGGGGGGGGCTCCGTGCTTGGGAGCAAACCCCAGGCCCGGCACCACTTTGGATGGGTGCTGGTGCCAGGCAGACAGGAGGAGAATGGGCTCGAAAGCCCATTGCTGAAGTGCAATTCCAGCCCTGGGCACAGAAATCCCATGGAATGAGCCCCCGTGCCAAGGTCTGCAAAGCCAGAGCCTTTTAGAACCTCCTTTAGGAGCTCATTCCAAGGGCATTGGGAATCCGGGGTTGGGAAGCGCAGGGACCACGTGGGGATGCATCCCAAGGGCCTGCATCACCTCAATCCCTCAATCCCCCAGCAGAGCGTGCAGCGTGGAGCCTTTTGCCTTTCCCTATTGCTCTGAGCGTTCCAAGCATCCCATCCGTCATTCCAAGGGGGAATGAGGATCCCGGAAAGGGGTCGACACAAGCGAGCATCACCAACCTCCCCTTCTGCAGCTGCAGGACCTTATCCTTCAGGGACTCATCCAGCTGGTCCAGGAAGGGGGTGATGTCCACAGGCTCCTCCACGATGGCTTCCTTGATGGGATGGAACCTGAATTCCCTCTTCTTTCCTGCAGCAAAGCAAGCAACGGTGGAAGGGGCCAATCTCTGCCCTAGATGTGTGGGGCTGGGAGGGGTGGGGGGGGCACTGCTCCGGCCTCATCTCTTGCTTTCCCCCTTCCAAACCGTGTTGAGGGTACCAGGAATAGGGATGCAGGATGGGTTCTGGGGCGGGGGGGGGGGGTTGGAATTGTGGCTCCCATTCCATGGAGCTTCCCAAGCTGCTCCATGGATGAAGCACCAGGAGGTGCCACCAAGGGATGGCACAAGGTGGCCGCGGTCCTTTGCTGTCACTGGGGCCCTCTTGGGGGTCCCAAGCGGGCAGCACAGCTCAATGGGGCTACAGAGGAGGATGCTGGAGCCCAGGGTCGCATCCTCTGCCCCACACAAGTCCCAGAAGGGGAGGAACAGCCTGAGATGCCTCCGGATCCACAACGGGGGATCCATAGAGGGGATCCCGGCCTTTTCTGCCCCATTCCAGAGGGAGGGAGTGTAAGGAAAACCAACGTTGGATGAGCAATGAAGAGGCCTGAGCCCAAGACGCCCCATTCCCAAAGCAGAGCAGCATCTGCCATAGGGATTCCCAACCAGTCCCGCGCCGAGAGAGAGGGGAAAGGGTCCAAGCTCCGGGAATAACAAGGGGATGGATCCCAGCTTTCCTTGGAGCATGGCTGTGGCTCACATCCCAGTCTGGCTGTCCGGGATTGGGAAGCAGCAGAGCATTGGCCTCAACCCCAACAGAAGGAAACCTGGAGCTCAAGGTGAGCAATTCCCACTGGGAATTGTGTGGGATCCTCCCCCTGCAGGGAAGGTGGAGCAGGGCACTGGGGCCACAGGATGCGGAGGTGCTGCAGGAGGAGCCTTCCTCACCTTTGCTGTTCAGATCCTCCTCATCATCACTGAAGGCGGCCTCGGCGTTGTCATAGCAACTGTCATCCTTCTCCGCCATGTGGTTCTCCATCTCCATGGAAACGGGCTCCTCAATTTTGACTGGGAAAAGGGGGTCAGGTTATCCGGGAACACACGGGGATGCTCTGGAATATCCCCCCCCATCCCCAGCCCCAATCCTTACCTTCAATGGGGGGTGAGGGTGAACTGCAGAACTCCGGGAACTTCTCCCTTAGCATGGCCCGGAGCTCCTTGTCCAGCTTGGGATTGTCAAAGAGAGGGGCCAAATGGCTGGGAAAAGGATGAGGAAAACCCTTTGCTTCCTTATGGACCACAAGCTCCCCTCATTTGGGCTTCCCAATGGCTCTGGGGCCAGCGGGAGCTGCATGGCAAGGGCTGGCCATGGGGATGCTCCTACAGCTTTTGGGGACCCCCCCCACCCTCCCTCCCCAAGCCTCAGCACCAGGACGGACCCAAGAGCATCCCATTATTGGGATTTGCCTTACGCAAGGACCCGCTTCTCCACGATGTGGGTCAGGGAATTGAAGACCCCTTGCCGGACGTGAGCTTCCAGAGGAGGGTAGAAGTTGGGAATGATCTGAAAGCAGAATTCCAGGTTAACGCAGGAAGCCGGGGCTCAGCTCCTTGGGGCATCCTCAGGTACCTGGAGCATGGGGGTGAGCATCCAGTGGGATCCATCGGATGGGGTAAAAGGGGACCAGCCCTTTCCTGCTTCCCTTTCCCCTTCCCAAAGGGAAGGGCATCCAGCAGGGATGAGGAACACCCTCGGGATGCTGTGGGGAGCCCCGGGGCCAGGCTCCAGCAGCAGCAATGGCTGCAGGAGAGGGGAGCTCCCTGCACATCAACCGGCCCTTCCCTCCCACCCGCGTTATCCCAAGGACCGGCAGCTCCCATCCCTGCTTCCCGCAGGATGCAGGGGCAGCCCCAGCTCTGCTCCCTGGCCTTTGACAGGGAGATGATGGCTCTGATCCCTGCCTGGGCAGGGACATTCTGCTTGCCCTCAGGGCTTTAAAGGGGACCATTCCAAAGCCTTTTCCTTCGGGAAGGATTTGCTTATGGAACGCTTATGGGGGCCCCATGCTCCGCTCCAAGCTCCAGGGATGCTCCTGGGGTGCTTTCCCAGCCCCCCCCCCCCTTATCCAGGTCTAATCCCAATGGAATTCCCTAGGGGCAGCTCACCCGGCACATGAAATCCAGCAGCGTGGCGGTGATGGCAGGATGAGGCTTCATGGAGTGGTGCATCACCAGGATGGCAGGCTCTGCATGCGGACACAGCAAGGGAGGCGCTCAGCACCCATGCATGCGCCCTCGGCGCAGCGCCAGCGCCGGAAAGGGGGCTGCGGGGGAACCTGGAAGCGGGGCTTTGGGACATGGGATGCAGGGATGGGGTGGGGAGGAAGAGCTCCCAACGGGAGGAGCTGGATGGGATACTGGGAAGCAGCTCGTCCCCACGAGGGCGGTGGGATGGGGTTGGATGGAGCAGCTGTGGCTGCCCCATGCCCTGCCCCAGCGGAAGGTGTCCCTGCCTATGGAGCTGGATGGGCTTGAAGCTCCCTTCATCCCAACACGTTCCATGGTTCCATGACCCAGGCTTTCCCCACCACGTCCCCTCTACCTCTCGGTGCCCTTCCCCAGCCGCTGAGCATCCAAAGGCAGATTCCCCATGGATACCTATGTTCATGATGCTGTCCTTCTCGGGGCTGAAGAAGAGCCAGTCATAGAATAAGGCCAGTTTGGCATTGGAAGCAGCGACGTTGGACTGGAGCGGGGAGAAAGCACACATGGGATTGGTGAAGGCGCTGAGCTCCCAACCCGGATGCGCTCCTCCTGCCGGAGCCGGGATGCTCTTCCCATGAAACAGGGCAGAGCTTGTAGGGAGGAGCGGGGAATCCTTGAGCCAGAGCAGCTCTAGGCCTCTGCTCCATGGGGATGCAGCAGTGGCTGTGCATTATGGATCATGGATCGGGATGGGCTGGGATGGAGAGCGGGGAAGCCGCAAGGTCCCAAAACCCCCATTGGAACCCCTTAAGCATCGGCTGCACAAGCTGGAAGCGAGCTGCCCGTCGCAAAGGATCCGATGCGCAGCAGCACTTGGGCTGCTCTCCTTCCTGCATCCCAACCCTGCTCCCTGCACGGGAAGCCATTCCCATGGGGATCGGGATCCCCGGGCTCACCGTGCAGGTGGTGAGCAGCCAGCCGATGATGGCCCAGCGCGGGAGGATGTCGGAGCTCAGCACCTCGTTGGAGGGATGCACCACGCCGCAGATGTACCGGATGAGGTCGCAGCGCAGGGATTGGCTGTCCGGGGTGGACAGGTACTGCCTCTGGAACCAGTCCTGGTACCGCTTCTGCTGCCCAAACCGCACCTGGAGGCGAAGGGGAGGAGGCGAGGGGCTCACGGAGCATCCCTTCGCCATCCCTGAAGCTCCGCTCTGCCAACATCCCCTGGCAAAGCTGGATCCGGCCTCCCACGGGTGCCTCAGAGCCATCCCCGTCGCTGTCAGAAGCAGCAAAGCTCTGCTGCCCGGTGCCCACAGGGATGCTCCGGTGCTGGCGAGGGAATGGGAATGGGAATGGGATGGATGCTCCCCGTCCCTGCGCTGGAATTACCCGCGAGGTCATGAAGAGCAGCTTGGTTTCCATGTCGGGAGTGAGGCGACAAGCAAGGAACTTGCGGGATGTCCTGGACTGCAGGAGCTGGAGGACACCTGGGAAGAGAGAGGGGAGGCTCAGGCGTTGCAGGGCATCAGCGGGATCCAGGCTGGGATCTGCCACCCTCCGCATGGAGCTGAGCTCGGAGCAGTGAGCTTCGCTCCCTCAAGAGGGATCAGGATTCCGGCTGGAAAAGGGCTCCTTGGTGGAGGGAGATCACTGTAAGGATGCCAGGAAGGAGCTGGGACAAAAGGGAGAGAGGCTGCACAGCCAACAGGGATGGGATCTGCAGGAGGAATAGGGAATTCCAGACGCCAAGTGCCACGCTGTGACCAACAGGGAACGGTCCCCATCTCCCGGGCAGAAAGCAGGGATGGCACAAGGGAATCCTGCATGGGAATGCAATTCCTCCCTGGGAAAAGGCACCGAGGATGAGGCACGAGGGAAAACGGGGTGGGGGGGGTGGATGGGGAGAAGGGAGGGCTGCAAACTGCTTGGAAGGAGGCCTTGGCCGAGGGATGGAGGGGGACGGGAAAAGGGAATGGCTTTAAGCTGATAAAAGGGGGCTGAAGGTGCTCTTCCCTATGCGGGTGCCGGGACACTGGAATGGGTGCCGGGACACTGGAATGGGTGCTGGGACTGGAATGGGTGCCGGGACACTGGAATGGGTGCTGGGACACTGGAATGGGCGCTGGGACACTGGAATGGGTGCTGGGACACTGGAATGGGTGCGGGACACTGGAATGGGTGCCGGGACACTGGAATGGGCGCCGGGACACTGGAATGGGCGCCGGGACACTGGAATGGGCGCTGGGACACTGGAATGGGTGCCGGGACACTGGAATGGGCGCCGGGACACTGGAATGGGTGCCGGGACACTGGAATGGGCGCTGGGACACTGGAATGGGTGCCGGGACACTGGAATGGGCGCTGGGCTGGAGCCGCCGGCCTCACCTGTGAACTGGGCGCTGAGGACCTGCGGGTTGTGGATGATGTCCTTCCAGAGCAGCTCGAACTCCGGGATGCGGGCCACGTTCTGCAGCAGCCGCACCAGGTCCCGGCCGATCATGAAGCAATCCATGAACTGGGACAAAAAGGGGATGGAAAAGCCTCAGGGACCGCTGGGCTGCGGAGGGGAAGGCATCCGCATCCCTGCTCCCCTTTGGAAGCAGTGGGATGGGAATCCGGGGGGGGGGGCACAGGGAAAGGGCAGCAGCGATTTCAAGCTGTTCCCTCTCTTGCAAAGCCACCAAGGAGCTTGGGAATGTGCCATTCCCATGCCAAGGCTTGGTCCTTCCTGCCTGGCAAGGGGAAAGGGAGAGCAGGCAGCACGTGGGGCGATGGGGATGGAGCTGCAGCGCCCATAGGGCAGGATGCGGGCAGCCACACGCGGTGCCTTCCCCGCATGGGAAGGATGATGCAGGGGGAAGACCAAGCCTCCCCTTTCCAGCCTGGAATGTGATGGGAAGGCGGGGGGGAGCGACGGGTTCCGAAGGTCCATAAGGAACCATAAGTTCCAGCTCCATAAGGAACAAGGGGCAACGGTACCGCTATGGAGGCAGCATCCTCATCCCTGGGGCTCACCCGTTCCCGGAGCAGGGAGATGCAGAATTCCACCTCCTTCTGGCGCAGGCCCTGGAGCTGGGCCGTGCCGTGGTGGTCCACGATGAGCCGCAGGTAGGTGTACACGGCCATGGCGATGAGGAGGCTGCTCTTCAGCACCCACTCTCTGCAAAGGGAGCCGCGCAGCCCGACCGTCACCTGCAGCCTCCTCCAGGAGGGATCCGCGGCCCCGAGGGGTTTAAACACGGAGCAAAGCGAGGAGCGAGGGCAGGGAGCATCCCCTGCTCCCTATGGATGCCGGCTTCTTGCCCCCTCAGCATCCTCAGAGGGAAGAGCTCCGGAGCCCACCTCAAGCTCCCCTCTTCCCCTTGGCCATGCAGTGGTGGAGAGGAGCCGGGATGCTCACATCCATCAGGATGCTGAGGAACACCCCGGCTCCTTTTCCACCAGGGAACCGTTCCAGCTGCTTCCCTAAGCCAGGAGCGCTCCGTGGGGTTGGGGTGACCCGAGTGACCGGGGCTGTGCTGAACCTCAGGCCGTTGGCCCATGGATCCATCCAGGATGGATCCGAAGGGGCCTTAAAGGTCATGGAAAGCCCTTTGGAATCTTCCTATTGCTCCAGCAGATCAACTCCTGCCCAACGTGGGGTTGTCCGAATGCGGATCCCCTCCATCCCTTTATCCAGCTCTCTGATACAGGGACCAGGCAGGATTGGGATGGAGCTGGACGGGCTTTAAGCTCCCTTCATCCCAACCCATTCCATGACACCAAATCCCTTTGGTTCTCCAGGAGCTGCTGCTCCCATCCCACTCCCTCAGAGCTGCCTGCTGCTGGGTGTGCCCCATTCCCAACCTCCCTTATCTGAGCTGCAGGAGAAACAGCCCTGCTCCAGAATTAGGAGCTCCCTTGTTTGTGCTGGATGCCGGGAACGGTGATGGATCAGCCCCAGGAGCTGTAAATCAAGCCCCACTGCGGGCAGCAGCTCCAAGCACCAACCCAGCAGCATCCGTGTTTGCTTCCCTGTTCATGATCCAGTGGGAATGGGCTGCGGGAGGAAGGAGGTGGGAATCGGGAAGGATGCTTGGGGAGGGGGGGGGGGTCTGGGTCAGCGAGGAGCTGGGCATGGACTGAAGATGCTGTCAGAGAGGAGGGAGGAACCCACCACGCACAGGCATGGGATGCATTGGGGTGAGAGGCAGGGCAATGGGAACGCTGCCATCCGGGATGAGGAGGAGCATCCCAGGGAATGGGGCAGGAGGATGAGGGAGCAGCAGCAGCTCTGCTGGAGCCACCTTTAATGAAAGCCCTCAGCATCCCCCCCTGCGGCACCAGCTCCTCATAAGCCTGGCTCTAATTAAAGCCTGCCCTTAATGAAAGCCCATAAATCTCAGCCAGGAGCTGCAGGGCCCCCCCACACCCCGGGCTCTCTTCCAATCCCCCCCCCTTGTGCTGGCTGGGATGCTCCATTGGTCTTCCAGCAATGAGCTTTAACCCTGAGCATCTGCTCCGGTGCCAAGGCCCAGCTGGGATGCAGCAGGGATGCAGCAGGGATGCAGCAGGGATGCAGCTGGGATGCAACTGGGATGCAGCTGGGATGCAGCTGGGATGCAGCAGGGATGCAGCTGGGATGCAGCAAGGATGCAGCTGGGAGCCCAGCCCCACAGCCAGAGGTGGCCTCGGGACCCCATTGAGGATGCTCCTCGTGCTCCTCTGATCCAGCTGCTGGCACTTGTTGGGTTTGGGATGGGGATGGGGATGGGGATGGGGATGGGGATGGGGAGCATTCCCAACATGCTCCGAGGCTGCAGTGAGCAGGACCAGCACAGGGGAACAGCACGGCAGTAGCATGGAATGGGCTTCAAGAGCATGGAATGGGCTCAAATAGCATGGAATGGGCTCAGACAGCATGGAATGGGCTCAAACAGCATGGAATGGGCTTCAATAGCATGGAATGGGCTTCAAGAGGATGGAATGGGCTTCAAGAGCATGGAATGGGCTCAGACAGCATGGAATGGGCTCAAACAGCATGGAATGGGCTTCAATAGCATGGAATGGGCTTCAATAGCATGGAATGGGCTTCAAGAGCATGGAATGGGCTCAGACAGCATGGAATGGGCTCAAACAGCATGGAATGGGCTTCAAGAGCATGGAATGGGCTTCAAGAGGATGGAATGGGCTTCAAGAGGATGGAATGGGCTTCAAGAGGATGGAATGGGCTTCAATAGCATGGAATGGGCTCAGACAGCATGGAATGGGCTCAAACAGCATGGAATGGGCTCAGACAGCATGGAATGGGCTTCAAGAGCATGGAATGGGCTCAGACAGCATGGAATGGGCTTCAAGAGCATGGAATGGGCTCAAACAGCATGGAATGGGCTTCAAGAGGATGGAATGGGCTCAGACAGCATGGAATGGGCTTCAAGAGGATGGAATGGGCTCAAACAGCATGGAATGGGCTCAAACAGCATGGAATGGGCTCAGACAGCATGGAATGGGCTTCAAGAGGATGGAATGGGCTCAAACAGCATGGAATGGGCTCAAACAGCATGGAATGGGCTCAGACAGCATGGAATGGGCTTCAAGAGGATGGAATGGGCTCAAACAGCATGGAATGGGCTTCAATAGCATGGAATGGGCTTCAAGAGGATGGAATGGGCTCAGACAGCATGGAATGGGCTTCAATAGCATGGAATGGGCTTCAAGAGGATGGAATGGGCTCAGACAGCATGGAATGGGCTTCAAGAGCATGGAATGGGCTTCAATAGCATGGAATGGGCTTCAAGAGGATGGAATGGGCTCAGACAGCATGGAATGGGCTTCAAGAGGATGGAATGGGCTTCAAGAGGATGGAATGGGCTTCAAGAGGATGGAATGGGCTCAGACAGCATGGAATGGGCTCAAACAGCATGGAATGGGCTTCAAGAGGATGGAATGGGCTTCAAGAGGATGGAATGGGCTTCAAGAGGATGGAATGGGCTCAGACAGCATGGAATGGGCTCAAACAGCATGGAATGGGCTTCAAGAGGATGGAATGGGCTTCAAGAGGATGGAATGGGCTTCAAGAGGATGGAATGGGCTTCAAGAGGATGGAATGGGCTCAGACAGCAGGGGAGGAGTTGAGCTTAGCGCCAAGGCAGGGGGGAGATGGTGAAGAGCCAAGCCCAGGAGGCCCCCAGGGCTCTCTCCTTCCCCATCCCCCCCCAGGGGCCCTTCCAGGCCAACCCTCCCTGGGAGCTGAATCCTGCAGGCAAACCAGGGCTTTCCCAGCCCATTGCTAAGCCCCGGGGCAAGAGCTCGGGGTAAATCCCTGCTGTCCCCGGGCCATTGGGAAGCAATGAGAGGGACTGCTGGGAGGAATCCTGCCTGCTCCGCCAGCAAAGGGAGGTGCTGAGCCCATAGGACAGTGCTGATCCCATAGGACAATGCTGATCCCATAGGACAATGCTGAGCCCATAGGACAGTGCTGATCCCATAGGACAGTGCTGATCCCATAGGACAGTGCTGAGCCCATAGGACAATGCTGATCCCATAGGACAATGCTGAGCCCATAGGACAGTGCTGAGCCCATAGAACAATGCTGATCCCATAGGACAATGCTGATCCCATAGGACAGTGCTGATCCCATAGGACAATGCTGATCCCATAGGACAGTGCTGATCCCATAGGACAGTGCTGATCCCATAGGACAATGCTGATCCCATAGGACAATGCTGAGCCCATAGGACAATGCTGATCCCATAGAACAATGCTGATCCCATAGGACAATGCTGATCCCATAGAACAGTGCTGAGCCCATAGGACAGTGCTGATCCCATAGGACAATGCTGATCCCATAGGACAATGCTGATCCCATAGGACAATGCTGATCCCATAGGACAATGCTGATCCCATAGAACAGTGCTGAGCCCATAGGACAGTGCTGAGCCCATAGGACAATGCTGATCCCATAGGACAATGCTGATCCCATAGAACAATGCTGATCCCATAGGACAGTGCTGAGCCCATAGGACAATGCTGATCCCATAGGACAGTGCTGATCCCATAGGACAGTGCTGAGCCCATAGGACAGTGCTGATCCCATAGGACAGTGCTGATCCCATAGTACAATGCTGATCCCATAGGACAGTGCTGATCCCATAGGACAGTGCTGAGCCCATAGGACAGTGCTGATCCCATAGAACAGTGCTGAGCCCATAGGACAGTGCTGATCCCATAGGACAATGCTGATCCCATAGGACAGTGCTGATCCCATAGGACAATGCTGATCCCATAGGACAGTGCTGATCCCATAGGACAGCGCTGATCCCATAGGACAATGCTGATCCCATAGGACAATGCTGATCCCATAGGACAGTGCTGATCCCATAGGACAGTGCTGATCCCATAGGACAGTGCTGAGCCCATAGGACAGTGCTGATCCCATAGGACAGTGCTGATCCCATAGGACAATGCTGATCCCATAGGACAGTGCTGAGCCCATAGGACAGTGCTGATCCCATAGGACAGTGCTGATCCCATAGGACAATGCTGATCCCATAGGACAGTGCTGATCCCATAGGACAGTGCTGATCCCATAGGACAGTGATGATCCCATAGGACAGTGCTGATCCCATAGGACAGTGCTGATCCCATAAGACAATGCTGATCCCATAGAACAATGCTGATCCCATAGGACAGTGCTGATCCCATAGGACAGTGCTGATCCCATAGGACAATGCTGAGCCCATAGGACAGTGATGATCCCATAGGACAGTGCTGATCCCATAGGACAATGCTGATCCCATAGGACAGTGCTGATCCCATAGGACAATGCTGATCCCATAGAACAATGCTGATCCCATAGGACAATGCTGATCCCATAGGACAGTGCTGATCCCATAGGACAATGCTGATCCCATAGGACAGTGCTGATCCCATAGAACAATGCTGATCCCATAGGACAATGCTGATCCCATAGGACAATGCTGATCCCATAGGACAGTGCTGATCCCATAGGACAGTGCTGATCCCATAGGACAATGCTGATCCCATAGGACAGTGCTGATCCCATAGGACAGTGCTGATCCCATAGAACAGTGCTGAGCCCATAGGACAGTGCTGATCCCATAGGACAGCGCTGATCCCATAGAACAATGCTGATCCCATAGGACAATGCTGAGCCCATAGGACAATGCTGATCCCATAGGACAGTGCTGAGCCCATAGGACAGTGCTGATCCCATAGGACAGTGCTGATCCCATAGGACAATGCTGATCCCATAGGACAGTGCTGATCCCATAGGACAGTGCTGATCCCATAGAACAGTGCTGAGCCCATAGGACAATGCTGATCCCATAGGACAGTGCTGATCCCATAGGACAGTGCTGATCCCATAGGACAGTGCTGATCCCATAGGACAGTGCTGATCCCATAGAACAATGCTGATCCCATAGGACAATGCTGATCCCATAGGACAGTGCTGATCCCATAGGACAATGCTTCCCAGCTGGCCTGGCCGCTTTTAGCCCTGCTGGAGCAGGAGCTCTTTAAACACAGGAAGCTTTTAGGGCAATTAAATCCTCCAAAAGGAACTTCCCCCCCCCCTTTGGAGCTCAGGAAGGGAATATTCCTGGACTGCTGCTCCCAGTGTGCACTGGGCACCCACTGGGTGCTGTGTGTTAGGGGCACGGGAGGGACATGCAGCAGAGCCCCCCCAGATCCATAGGGAGAGGCTTCAGGATGCTCCCCCACACCTCACCTGCAGCAAGAGGGGTGGAACCGGGGATCCTAAAGGTCTCGTCCAAGCTGGTTGATGCCCCCCAAGGGACAGCACCCCAAGGAGGCCGAGGTGCAGGGAACCCCATCAGCACCCCATTGAGGACAAGCACCCCCTCGAGAGGGATGGGGAGGTCTCCCCCTCCATGCCAGGCTCTTCCCAATGGATCCCAGCATCCCTACCTCTGCTCGGTGAGGATCTCCAGCACGTTCTCAGCCAGCCAGATGTTCTTGGCTGTCACATCCCCACCTGGAAGCACAAGCACAAGAGGAGGGGGAAAGCCATTGGGAACCCAGTGGGGATCCACTGCCAGGCTCCTGGACCACCTCCATCCCTGCATCCCCTGCCTGCAACGCGCTCCGGGTGTTGGGGGATCCACGGGGGGAGGTGGATGCATGGAATAGCATGGAATGGGGTTTGTGGTGGGGGAGGTGGATGCATGGAATAGCATGGAATGGGGTTTGTGGTGGGGGGAGGTGGATGCATGGAATAGCATGGAATGGGGTTTGTGTTGGGGGATTGATGGGGGGAGTTGGATGCATGGAATGGGGTTTGTGTTGGGGGGGCCTTAAAGCACCAGGACCGTGATGCTGGGGACCCGCTGGGGAGCAAAGGAGCTGGGATCCAGGAGCTGGATAAAGGCTCCTTCATGGAGCAGGGCTGGGGATGGAGGGAGCTTCACGCTCCAGGGGCAGGGCAGTGCCTGCAGCGGCCGCCCCGCATGGGGAGGGCGCAGCCGGGGGATGCTGCTTGGCTCCCGCTCCCCTCTTCCTGCCCTTTCCAGGCACACCCAAGGCAAGGCCAAGGTCAGGCGGGCCCCCGGCTCCCTCCTCCGTGGGGCAGGGAACACGGAAGAGGCCCCGTTCCTGTGGGGCAGGAAAGGCGCTCGCACGCACGCGGCTCCGGCTGTCCCAGAGCCGGGGTTAAGGAGGATCCCGGCGCTGGGAGCCGGCAGCAACGGGAGCCACGGCGCTTCCTGTGCCTGCTCCTGCCTGTCCCTGCCTGCTCCTGCCTGCTCCTGCTTGCTCCTGCCTGTCCCTGCCTGCTCCTGCCTGTCCCTGCCTGTCCCTGCCTGTCCCTACCTGCTCCTGCCTGTCCCTGCCTGCTCCTGCCTGTCCCTGCCTGCCCCTGCCTGTCCCTGCCTGCTCCTGCCTGTCCCTGCCTGCTCCTGCCTGTCCCTGCCTGTCCCTGCCTGTCCCTGCCTGCTCCTGCCTGTCCCTGCCTGCTCCTGCCTGTCCCTGCCTGCTCCTGCCTGCTCCTGCCTGTCCTTGCCTGCTCCTGCCTGTCCCTGCCTGCTCCTGCCTGTCCCTGCCTGCTCCTGCCTGCTCCTGCCTGTCCCTGCCTGCTCCTGCCTGTCCCTGCCTGCTCCTGCCTGCTCCTGCCTGTCCCTGCCTGCTCCTGCCTGTCCCTGCCTGTTCCTGCCTGTCCCTGCCTGTTCCTGCCTGTCCCTGCCTGCTCCTGCCTGCCCCGAGCCTTCGGAGGGGCTGCGGGGAGCAGCAGGTTTGGGCTCTGCAGCCAGGCTGGGGCAGGATTGGGGCCTGCTCCTCTGGACCCCGCTGCGGAGCAGCAGAGCTCGGGCTTTGCCACAGCACAAAGCAGCCCCGGGGCAGCACTGAGAGTGACTGCGCTGCTGGGGAGGAGCAGGAGGCTGCAGGCACAGGGGGGGCAGGAGGATGCAGGCACAGCGAGGTGGGATGCAGGCACCGTGGGGCAGGATGCAGGCACAGTGGGGCAGGATGCAGGCACAGTGAGGTGGGATGCTGCAGGCACAGCAAGGCGGGATGCAGGCACAGTGGGGCAGGATGCAGGCACAGTGGGGCAGGATGATGCAGGCACAGCGGGGCAGGATGCAGGCACAGCGCGGTGGGATGCAGGCACAGCGAGGCGGGATGCAGGCACAGCAGGGCAGGAGGCTGCAGGCACAGCGAGGCGGGATGCAGGCACAGTGGGGTGGGATGCAGGCACCGTGGGGCAGGATGCAGGCACAGTGAGGTGGGATGCTGCAGGCACAGCAAGGCGGGATGCAGGCACAGTGGGGCAGGATGCAGGCACAGTGGGGCAGGATGATGCAGGCACAGCGGGGCAGGATGCAGGCACAGCGAGGCGGGATGCAGGCACAGCAGGGCAGGAGGCTGCAGGCACAGCGAGGCGGGATGCAGGCACAGTGGGGTGGGATGCAGGCACAGTGGGGCAGAATGCAGGCACAGTGGGGTAGGATGCTGCAGGCACAGCAAGGCGGGATGCAGGCACAGCAAGGCGGGATGCAGGCACAGTGGGGCAGAATGCAGGCACAGTGGGGTAGGATGCTGCAGGCACAGCAAGGCGGGATGCAGGCACAGCAAGGCGGGATGCAGGCACAGCGCAGTGGGATGCAGGCACAGCGCGGCGGGATGCAGGCACAGCGAGGCGGGATGCTGAAGGCACAGCGAGGCAGGATGCATGCACAGCAAGGCGGGATGCTGAAGGCACAGTGGGGCAGGATGCAGGCACAGCACAGTGGGATGCAGGCACAGCGAGGCAGGATGCAGGCACAGCGCGGTGGGATGCAGGCACAGCGAGGCGGGATGCTGCAGGCCCAGTGGGGTGGGATGCAGGCCCAGTGGGGCAGGACGCTGGGCCTCGACTCACCTGCAATCTGCTTCATGAAGGTCATGCAGACGCCATCAGCACCCAGCACCCCGTTCTTCACCAGCTCCCGCAGCAGCCACACGAGCTGGGCACAGGAAGAAATCACTGCAGCTTCCCCCCGCCCAGCATCCCAAGCTCCCAGCCATGGAGCAGTACCCATTGCCCCCCCCCCAGCCCCTCTGCTCGTGGTACCCTGGGGTAGATGGTGTGGAAGGGGCACTTGGGGGCAGAGGAGCTGCCCCTCCTCACCTGGGTGCGGCACGTGTCCTGCAGCTTCAAGTACTTCTCCATCAGGATGTGGTTGATCTTGTTGAGGACGATGTTCATCCCATCCCGGCTCACCAGGGCCAGGTCCCGGTAGCACTGCGAGGGGAGGAGATGCAGGGCATGGTTATGGGGGAAGAAAGCTCTTAATGGCATCGTGAACCTGAGCGGGTAACAGCAAGGAAATGATCCTCAGGGAAAAGGGCACGGAGCATCCTTTGGGATGCTCTAAATGGATTCACTGGATGCAGCCCCAGGAGCCAAAGGCATGGACACAACCAGGAGGCACCAGCGCTAAGGAGGATGGGCTCATTGACAGCCACGTCCACACCGTTCCAATGCCCCTGGCTCCAGGGAGAATGGGGATGCTCTGCTGTGGGAAGAGGGAATTATCCTAGGGAAAGGAAGGACTTTGTCCTGGCAGGACAACGGCGGGATGCTAATGGGTGTTAATGGGTGCCAGGAAACGCCATGGTATTCCTGAGCTCCCGAGGCCCCCAGAGGTGCCTTCGATCCGATTCCCTGCGCTCAGGCTTTCTCCATCCCTTTTCCATAGAGCACTGTGGAAAACCGGAGCGAGGCAGAGGGATCCATCCCTCAGATCCCAAGCGGGGCCTGGAAGTGCTTCTGACATGCCAAATGGATGCCCATGAAGCAGAGCCAGAACACGCAGCATCTCCCTCCCTGGGTCAGCCCCAGACATCATTCCAATGGGGAAACACAGGGGTCAAGCCGGTCCAGGACACAGCCAGATAGGGGGGGAAAAAAGCTTTTAATCCCTTTGGAAAGGTCCCTGCCCTGCCTAAGAGCTCATCCCAGTCTCCCCCCTGCAGGTTAAAGCCATTCCCCTTGTCCTGTCCCTAGAGCAGAGCTCATCCAAGCCCCCCAAGCACAAGCAGCCAGAGCAGAACAAGCCTCATCCCATCCCATCAGGGCAATGCCAAGACATCACCAACCCCTTCCTTGCTGGCATTCCTGCCGAGCAGGGAATCCACAGGGAATGGGGAAGCTCTTGAGGTCCCCAACAGCCACAGGGGTGGGGAGGGAACCCGGATGGCTTCCCTGCACCCCGGAGCCAGCATTCCCACTGCACCGAACAGGGAGGAAGGATGGATGCGCGCTTGGAATGAAGGGGGAAGAGGCACGGAGGGGAGGGAAGAGACCTCCTCCCAGCCTGGAGGTGCTGAGCAGGCAGTGGAGGAGGTGCTGAGCAGGGCGCTGGGTTCAGAGCCCTCTGATCCCGGGATAATTAAAGCAGGAAGAGGAGGGAGCTGGGCCACGTCACTTGGGAATGAAGGGGTCAGCGCCCTCCTTATGGCTGGACCAGGGCATCCCAGCGCATCCCAGCGCATCCCTGCTGCCTGCAGGGTCAATGCAACACGAGGGAGGAGGCAAGGGGGGGCTTCAGCCCCCGGGAAGGATCATGGAATGGGATGGGATGCAGGGAGCTTAAAGCTCATCCAGTTCCACGGGCAGGGACAGCTCCAACCCGGCCGTGAGCACTGCCAGGGATGGGGCAGCCCCAGCTCCTCCCTTCATCCCCTCCCAGGTCCTCAGCACCCTCACTTCTTCCCCATCTCCAGCCCAAATCCCCCCCTTTAAACCAATGGGAAAAGAGGAAACCAGAGGAGTTAGGGACCGGAATCCAATCACAACAGGGATTAAATCAAGGCAGAGCCTTGCCTGAGTCGCCTCCGGCCAGCGCAGCACCGGGATTTATGGAGCATCCCTCCCAGCACGCCCTGAGGTCCCCTTCAGCCCCTTCCCATCCCCTGCACCCCAAGAAGGAGCCCGGGGAGGGCTCATTCCAAGGCTTTTCCTTGGAGCTGCTCCAAACCCGCATCCCAGAGTTTTCCCATACAAAACGTTCCTCTTCCCATTGGTGAGCGGCTGCAATGCCAGCAATCACCCTGGACCCATTACAAAGGGATTTCGGGATTCGCTCTGGAATCACCAGAGGGGGGGCTGCTGGAAAGCAGTTTTTCCTCTAGGAATTGCACACGTGCCTCAAGGGGGGGGATTCCTAGAGCTTCCAGCATCAAAGCCATGCACAGCCAAGGCAGAGCCATGGAATCCCAGGCTGGGATGGGCTGGAAAGGACCTTAAGGTCTAGATCCAGGCAGGAATTCTTTCCAGGATGCTCCCTTTAGGACCAGTGCCTGCCTCCCCTAGGGAAACCCAATTCATTCCCAGGCTGGGCAAGCACCCAACCAAGCCCCTTCCCTTGGTGGCAGCATCCCTGAGCGTCAGCCCCTGGACCACACGGATGCAGCAAAGCCGGGATGCTCTGCTCGGCACCGGGATTCCAGCCAGGAGGAAGCCCCAGCACTGCCCCATTCCATTCCCAATGGAACAGTGGCTCTTACCTTCTGGGCCTGAGCGGGCTCCGTGAGGACCAGGGTGAAGAGCCCCAGGCAGATCTCCTCGTGCTGGGGGCTTCCTTTGCATATCTAAGGGAGAGGAAGGCAGAGCCAGCAGTGAGATGGGGCAAGAGAAGCAGGAAACCCCACATGGAGCATCCAGGAAGGAATCCGAACCGGGAATACCCAAACCATAAAGGGCCTCCCTGGAGGAAAGGGGATGCCCTTGGCGCTGAGAGCTTTGAGTGGCTTCAGGGTATCCCAGGAGGAGCACATCATGGAATGGGTTGGGATGAAGGGAGCTTAAAGCCCATCCAGCCCCACGGGCAGGGACAGCTGCCCTAGAGCAGGATGCTCCTTGAGCACTGCAAGATGGGGCAGCCACGGCTTCATAGGGCACCAGTTGGACCCAAGGGATGGGACCTGGCTGCTCTCTTCCAAGCGGGAATGCATTCCAGGAGCCCTGAATCCCACCCTTGCGATGCCAAGCGCTGCCCAGGAAGGGAAGGGGCCTCTGGAGCACGGCCCAAGGTGTCTGGGGGGGGGTTAGAAACGCACCAGGCATAGCTGAGAGCCCAGTAGCAACGCACGCAGCCTTATAGGGTAACATCTGCAGCTCCATCCCCTGGCTAGCGTGAACGGGCCCTTTCCAAAGGGCTGGAATCTGGTTGCTGCGAGGCCAGGCAAGACCCGAGGAATTCCATGTGTGAGTGTTCCCACGCTGGGGAAAAGGGGCAGGATCCACCTGAGCCCCGCAATGAACCGCAGTGAGTGGAGGGAGCAATCGGCTTCCAAAGGGATTGAAGCCACCAAGTGTGGAATTCCAAAGTGGGAAGCTTGAAAACCCCCCCCTCCCTTCCATGAGTCCCTTGATCCAGGCAGGATCCATCCCACCCCAAAGGACACGAGGACTTACGTGAGCGTTGAGAGCATCGTTGGCTTCCCGCTCCGAGAGCCCATTGGTGAGCGCCGTGACGATGCTCACGCATCTCTCCAGCCTCTGGAAGCAAGAGGCATCCATTGGGATGCTGCCAGAACAGAGCAGGGCTCCAAACCCCCCCCAACCCCATCATGGACATGGATATCAGCTTGATCCCAAACCATCATCCATGTGGGAGCAGCCCTGGAAACGTCCCGGTCCCATCCCATCTGAGCAGCTTCTGGTGGAGCACAGCAGGAGATGCTGGCACGGAGCATCCGGAGGGATGGAGATGGGAAGAGCCAGGAAGTCAGGAGCACAGGCATGGAAGAAGCAAACCATGGGATCATGGGATGGGTTGGGATGAAGGCAGCTTAAAGCTCATCCAGGTCCAACCCATTAAAGCCGGTGAGGAACGGGCTGTATCCCGGGGGTTTTATGCAGGAGCAACGGGGCAAAGCCCAGGAAGATCCCAGCTCCAAAGCACAGGAATGATGCGGAAAGGGAGGATAAGATCCAGGAGCTGGAAAAGCAGAGGGAGAACCCCCAGCCAAAGGGAAGGAATCAGCCGGAAGCAGCTTTTCCCAACTGGAATTCGGTCTCTGGTGCTGGTTCCCAGCAGTGGAAGAGATGGAGATGGGTAAGGACCAGCTCATCCCTGGGAAGTCTCCCTCGCCTCCATCCGCACACATCCATCCCTGCGCCCGATCGGAGCCGCCCTGCTGGCTCCTTCCCAACCCAGATCCAGCGGGAGCATCCCAGGACACCCGGAGCATGGAGCTGCTTTTCCAGCCCAATGGGAAGCTCCCAGCTGGAGCTGGGAATGTTCTGGGCAGGCCTGGCTGGGAGCCAGCACACACGGGGAGCAGGGACTGCGTGGAAGGCACATAAATACACTCCAATGGCAGCTTCCAGAGCTTGGGATGGCGTTATTCCCATCGGGATGGTGGTATTCCCATCGGGATGGTGGTACTCCCATTGAGATGGTGTTATTCCCATCGGGATGGTGGTACTCCCATCGGGATGGCGTTATTCCCATCAGGATGGCGGTACTCCCATCGGGATGGCGTTATTCCCATCAGGATGGCGGTACTCCCGTTGGGATGGCGGTACTCCCATCGGGATGGTGGTACTCCCATTGGGATGGCGTTATCCCCATCGGGATGGCGGTACTCCCATTGGAATGGTGTTATTCCCATCGGGATGGTGGTACTCCCATCGGGATGGCGTTACTCCCATCGGGATGGCATTATTCCCATCGGGATGGCGTTATTCCCATTGGGATGGCGTTATTCCCATCGGGATGGAGTCATTTCCATCAGGATGGAGTTCTTCCCACAGGGACGGTGTTATTCCCATCAGGACGGTGGTATTCCCATTGGGATGGTGTTATTCCAACTGGCACGGCGTTATTCCCATCGGGATGGTGTTCTTCTCTTCAGGATGGTGTTATTCCCACCAGGACAGTGGTATTCCCGTCGGGATGATGTTATTCCAACTGGGACAGCGTTATTCCCATCGGGATGGCGGTATTCCCACCGGGACGGCAGTATTCCCATTGAGATGGTGGTATTCCAATCGGGATGGCGTTATTCCCATCGGGACGGCATTATTCCCACCAGGATGGCGTTACTCCCACTGGGATGGTGTTATTCCCATCAGGATGGGGTTACTCCCACCAGGATGGCGTTACTCCCATTGGGATGGTGTTATTCCCATCAGGATGGTGTTATTCCCATCAGGATGGGGTTACTCCCATCAGGATGGGGTTACTCCCATCAGGACGGCGTTATTCCCACCAGGATGGTGTTACTCCCATCGGGATGGTGTTATTCCCATCGGGACGGCGGTATCCCCACAGAGATGGTGTTATTCCCATCGGGATGCCGTTATTCCCATCACCACCCCGTTTGCCTCCTGCAGCTCAAAGCCAATGGGATGCTCTCCCTCCTCTGGACCACTTTGGGAGCCTCAACTCCATTCATTTCCACCACTCAACAACCAGCCCTTGTCCTGGGGACAAGCAGCAGCATTCCTGAACCTGGGATCCCGTGGGATCCGTGCCAGCCTGTGTCAGAGCAACGCGGTCCCGATGCTCCTTGCGTAGGAGCAGACCCTTTCCCAACGGGAATCATGGAATGGGATGGAGCGCAGGGATGGGGCACGGACGTCTCCCATTGGCTGCACGGAGCATCCAAACCTCCTCCATTGAACCCATCCCGGTGCCCAGCACCCTCACAGGGAAGCGCTGCCTCGGCGCTGCCGCCTCCATTCCCAGTGCCCTATCCCTGCATCCCTGCATCCCTGCACACCTGTACACCTGTACCCCTGCATCCCTGTATCCTTGCATCCCTGTATACCAGTATACCTGTACCCCTGTAAACCTGCATCCCTGTACCCCTGTAAACCTGCATCCCTGTATTCCTGAATACCTGTACCCCTGTATCCCTGCATCCCTGTATACCTGTGTCCCTTCATCCCTGCATCCCTGTACACCTGCATCCCTGCATCCCTCCATCCCTGTATTCCTGTACCCCTGCATCCCTGTATTAATGTACCCCTGCATCCCTGTAAACCTGCATCCCTGTATTAATGTACCCCTGTATCCCTGTACCCCTGCATCCCCGTACCCCTGTATCCCTGCATCCCTGTACCCCGGTATCCCTGCATCCCTGTACCCCTGTACACCTGCATCCCTGCATCCCTCCATCCCTGTATTCCTGTACCCCTGCATCCCTGTATCGCTGCATCCCTGTACCCCTGCATCCCTGTATTAATGTACCCCTGTATCCCTGTACCCCTGTATCGCTGCATCCCCGTACCCCTGTATCCCTGCACCCCTGTATCCCTGCATCCCTGTACCCCTGGATCCCTGTACCCCTGGATCCCTGCACCCCTGTATCCCTGTACCTCTGGATCCCTGTATCCCTGCACACCTGTATACCTGTATTGCTGCATCCCTGTACTCCTGCATCCCTGCATCCATATATACCTGCATCCCTGCACCCCTGTATCCCTGTACCCCTTCACCCCTGTACCCCCCCCCCCCAACCCCCCCTCCCCCCCACCTACCTCCTCCAGCTCATCCTTGGCATCCAGGAGGGTGGAAACCAGCAACTTCCCCCCGCTCCCCCCTTCCCCTTCCCCATCTCCATGGCTGGGGGCTGGGGGGGGGGGCAAGGGCGCAGCGACCCCCCCCCGAGCGAGCCCCCCCCACCCCGCTCTTCCTCACCTGAGGAGGAGGAGGAGGAGGGAGGGGGGCTCCTTATGGGCAATGCCCCCCCTCTGCCTGCTCCCCGGGGGGGGTATGGGGGGGCTGTGCTATGGGGTTTGCCCTATGGGGGGGGATAGGGGATAGAGGGGGTATGGGGGGGATAGGGGATATAGGGGGGAATATAGGGGGGAAATAGGGGGTATGGGGGGTATAGGGGATATAGGGGATATAGGGGGGATATAGGGGGTATGGGGGGTATAGGGGATATAGGGGGGATATAGGGGGGATATAGGGGGGATATAGGGGGGATATAGGGGGGATATAGGGGGGATATAGGGGGGATATAGGGGGGGATATAGGGGGGATATAGGGGGGATATAGGGGGATATAGGGGGGGATATAGGGGGGATATAGGGGGGGATATAGGGGGGATATAGGGGGTATGGGGGGGGGACACAGCCCCTATGGGGGGGCCCGGAAGGCACCGGAGAGACACGGCGGGGCCCTGCGGGAAGAGGAAGAGCGGCGAGGCCGGAAGAGCCCGCCCCCTCCCTGCCCGCTGGCCAATGGGAGCGGGGATAGGGCTGGGAGTGAGGGGTGAGTGGCTGAGGGGAGAGGGGCGGGGATTAGAGGGGGGGTGTAGCCAATGGGGGTGGGAGGGGGAGGGGGCTTGTGGGGGTGGATGCTCCGCCA